AAAATTTTTTAAAACCTAATATATAAAAAATATATATAATGTGTACATTTCCCTTTATATTTAAATTATTAAGTTGCCTCCCCTCCAATATGAAACTCTTCCCTATGTCATGTAGGTAGGTCCTGCTAACTAGGAGCTGGTCAGGCCAGTAACCCAGTAACTGGTTATTGGACTAAATAATCCGACAGGCTCAATCCAGTGTTTAAAGAAAAAAATACCTAGCATTTGTGGGAGTGTAAAGTGTCCACGTACTGTTTACAGACAATAAGTCAAGACGTCTACAGGTGAACACCCAGCTAGCTAGGGGGCAAATTATTTGCTAGCAATTTGTTTATTGATTGTACAGTCGGCATGTGGCAAATGGCAGAAGTCACAATAATTAAATGGGCATGTTATTTTTAAGTGAAAGGTCAGGACAAGTTGAGCATGTAGTTGTACAGCGCTTCGCCGCGCCCGCCACACGACGAAACCCCGGTTGGAGACTTCAGGAGGTGTGATCCTAAAACCTCTCAGTCATAAGTTCTCATGCAATAACAGGTGCTTGTTAGCTTTTGAGTCAGGTTGTAGCTGCTCCGGTTTCAATCCAGCTCATGGCGGCAAACGTTCCCTGATGGGGCGAAGCGGACAGTGCTTTTGTGGGGGTGGTATGTGCTGGGTTAGGGGCAGGTTAGGACATGATTGGAAGGTTGCTAGTTCAAGTCCCATTGTCAGAGTGATTTCACCATTGGGCCAGTGACTGCCTGATCCTGCTTTCTCAAAAATGTCTGTCGATTTGGAGAAAAGAATCTACTACATAAATAAAATGTAATTCTGCTGCATACAGTCCCTGACCACAGTTAAGGCCTTCTTACTGTCTATGAGTACCACTGGTTCCTCAGAATAGCGTCAAAGGCGCTTATGTCATCCACATACATGTAGTCTGTGCAGGTCAAATAGCAGAAGAGTGGAGCACGTTAGTATTTACTGCTGAAGTCAGGCACAAATGCTGAGGTGCTGTTCTGTGTTTGGTGACACGCTTTTCTCCACTTCACAGAGAGTGTAAGAACAGTAAACCTCGCTGCTCTCTCATCCTGTGTGTTTTGGTCATTTTCGCTCTCCGGGACTCCATTACACCCTCTGCCCTCCCTCCCGGTCTCCTGGACGACAGCTCGTCAGGTGCTCTGGGCAGATGCAAGCTTGCGTGGCAAAACAAACAGGTTTGGGGGGGAAGGAGGAAACACATTACAGAGAAGTACTGGATCCAAACAAAGCTAGCTGAACTGTGTGGGAGAGTGCTGTTTTGGGGTTTTCAAAAAGCGTGGTAAGCGAAATGCCCCTTGAGACTTTTTGTTCGTCATGTAACGTTACAGATTTCAGACCGCTGGCGCTTTGCTTTGCCTGTCAAAGTTGTCGACTCTGCATCCTGGTGTTTCAGATTCTGTTGGGATTTTTCTTTAAGATATTTCAGCATAACCTGTGGCAGCCGTTCGCTTTGATATGTCCAGCAAAGATTTACGATTACTTGTCAGTCTTGCCTCTCATTTAAATCCGGTGTGTGAATTCTGTGTCATACTCTGGACTGAATGGAAACCGCATCTCACCGTGTTTCAGGCTGAAGTCGGATGAGGCCCTTTTTAATGGGAACGCGTCCCTTAATGCTGCATGAGTCGGCATAAATCACGCCATTAGTAGTGAGCAGCTTGACAGTCCTTGCAGAAACGCTCTGATAAACTCTTGCAGCTGACATCCTGTTTATTTAATAGTTTTATTCATGAGGTTTGAGGGAAGAAAAGCAGTGTGAACAAACAGCGCTTTGAATCGGACCCCCTGGTAAATAAGCCTCGGCGGCCTGGACCAGTCTGAGGGCCTCGTTCACCAGCAGGCTGGTGTCCTGCTGGCCTTTGGCCGCTGCTCTGTTCTGTGTTGTCCATTGCTGGTGTTTGGGAGCTGAAACAAAGGCCATATTTAGGGAGTTTGTCTTCCTGACCCTTACTGTCAGCTGTCTGCAAGATAGACCACATCTGCGCAGAGGGTCTCGAGAAATGAGTCCGTGACTGGCCATGTTTATGGTGCTTTTCACTGGTCTGGTTAGCAGTTAATGATAAATATGATAGTTGTGCAATTTGCCTCGTCTTTTCTTTGCTTTGGAGAAGAGTTTAATGCTAAATACATGATGCAAAGTAATGATTGCACCAACAGATCTGTTCAGATGTCAGATGCACCTTGACATTGATCCAGACCCTCTAAACTGGGTGTTATTGCTGCTTCCTGTACAGTGGATATGGCAGCTCTTAGTGCCAGCTATAGAGGAAGTACTGATAGGACCGGTGCTGGTGGGAGCTGGTGGTCCCAGCCCCTTCTTATCCTAATGCTCCTCATGTTACGCAGTTGCTACAGGACAGTATTGGTGAACCTTCTTCACCTCCGCTGTTGTTTTATGTTTTGTAAGATATGTTCTTTAAAACGGAGGTGTGTAACAGTGGTCTATAGAGAACTCCTTTTCGACCTACAGGACCCCAGGTTCCTGGTTTTGTTTATCACCAGATACTTTGAATATGACTTTCCTTGTGTTTCTCATTCTGACATCATCTTTTTTGTTGTTGTTTTTGCTTGAGCGTTTCGTTTGATGCCAGAGGGTGGTCTGCTTGGTAGTGAGTCATGGTGGTCTATCCATAAGCCCTGGAATGTGCTGCAGCCTGTCCTTAGCATTAACTTGTGAGTCATCGCTGCTTTTTCAGCTGGTCTTCTTCACAGCGAGAAAAACTTCTGGAGCTTAGTCATTTTTAGGCACCCTTAGCTTCTAGATGTGATCCTGTGATCGTTTGGATTGTGGAGGCCTTCTCTCAGCCTGCAGGCTCTCCCATCATCACCTCAGCGGCAGGCTACTCTGACATTTGCTAGATGAGTTTTTGAGGGGGGGGAGTTCCATCTCAGAGTTTTCCTCTGATGACCTTCCTCCCAGTGAAGCATTTGCCATATCAGCATCTTCACCAACGCTAACATAGTCATTATCTCAACAGCTTTTTGGAGGGAAGCCTACTTCTGCTATACTGTGGATGCACTACTGAAAGTTAGAACCATCCCAGGTCTATTCCAACCCATGTTTCCAACCACAATGCCTAAAATGTATTGCACTAGTTCGGTGCCGGTCTTCCCTGCTGTCTATATACAGGCAGTGCCCAGGTTACGAACAAGCTCCATTCTCCAAGTCTGCCTTTAAGGTGAACTTCCAGGTAAGTCAGAAAAATTATACTGCAGTGCATAATAATAATAATAATAATAATAATTATTATTATTATTATACAGCAATAATAACAGCAACTACGTACAGTACTATGATGTTCCTGGA